GAAAGCCGCCTTTAGTTGTACTGCTCGACTCCCTTTCATAATCGTGGGTGGATGCGAACTCGGGGCCCTTCTACCAGTTCCCAAACGTGGCCTGCGCGCAAACGAAACTCCACTGGCATCGATCATCACTGAGGCGTCCCCAAAATCTTCCGACATGATTCCATCCTTGGCATCCATGGAGGCCACACTTTCGGCACCGAACCTGCGCCCAGGGAAAGTGTTTCTTGAGCAGGGCTCTAATCCTGCCGACATGCTAAATAGGCAGCTTCGATGATCTTTCAAGGGGCAAGCTCCCATGACCACGAGAGGAGCTTGTGAAAACCTGCCGGGCCAGGCTCTCACCATCAACAGCCTACTCCTTCTTCGACGAACAATGTTGAAGGGAAACGGCTTTCCATGACTCGACTATAGCCTCCTTATTCACCTCAATGCTGATGTGGCCAAGGACTCTGGCATGCATCTGCAGCTACTCGGAGCGCTCCAATGCCATCGAACAACCCGACAGTGAGAAATCCTGATAGTTCCGCTTAGTTTTTTTTCGCATAGGAGAAAGCTGCAGCCTGGCCAAAGCCAGTGATGCCTACGCTCTTTGTCAGTCCTCCCCCTGAAGCATCACTGGCTGTCACCACCTTGTCCACCTCCATGCGAAAGTCCATTCGCGCCAAGGGGATCAGACTGAGAAACTGAGCTACCTCCAGCTTTACCTCGTCAGGGATCTCAAGCTTGATGACAGGGGGTAATTCTTGAATTTTTGAATGAAACGCCAGACAGCGTTGAGCGACCCTAGTTGTGGTCGTCGAAACATACTCATGTAGACCAGTCCTCCGGCCACAACTTGTGCAACGCTTCTCCCCAACACGAGACTGGAAAGCTGAGCGTACTTCAAGACTTTGCTGGGCTTTGGATAAGCCGCAACCTTTTCGCCGTCTAGTATAAAGCACCTTGCACTTCGGCCTTCAGCGCCCGTGCTACAGCTTTCTTTGGGCGCCGGGGAACCGCTCGGACTCATGTCGCAGAGCAAGGACTCCGGGACCTGGCTCCCCCTGTACGAGCTTCGCTGTGCGAGAGTCCATCTTCTCCAAAAGATCGAAGTTGTCAAGATAGATCCGGTGCAGGTGAAAGGTGTTCTCCGGCCCTTCTCACCATAGCCCGGCCACGCTGACGCTGTTCTTGGCGCCCGTGGGGAGTGCTTGGGGTGCCGCGTAGCAGGGGTCATGGCCATCAGGCCAAAGTTCAGGGGTAGCGGACGGTTGGAAAGAAGACAAATTAGTAGGGACTTTGATGTAGAAAAAGCACCTAAGAGATATAGGTCCCACAGTGGCGCAACTGGGAAGTGTGGCCACGCCCCCCTCAATTCCACGGCACACCAGATTGCATGGTCTCAGTTCCATGATTAACCTGTGCACTGGCACCCCTTCCTCTTCTTCCCCCTTTTTAACGCCAAAGAGCCCGTTCAATAGGGGCTGACCACCCACGTGCAAAAGCTCAGCCTCACTAAGAAGAATGCACACTCCTCGTTCCAACAACCCACGGCATACTCCCGGCCAAGCCTCATCGCCAATCATCACGCGGGGAGCTTTCCTCGACTTCTGAAGCTCCTCAGGCAGGACATACGATCGGAAGTGCTCGACATAGTGGCGGCATCCTAGTTCGCGCACCTCTTCCCTTGGCATGGCTGGGGCTAAGTTCGCCCACCTGGCGTATTGGGCACAAAGAACCTCCTCGCTTGGAAAAAGCTGTAACAACAGTCTGTCGCCTCAAACCAACGCACGTTCACGGAGATACGTCAATACAGGAAGTTGAAGAGGAACAGGGGGGAAAATCACTCTCAACCGTGGAACCATACATCGAGGGGCCGTTGCCTTCATATCCACACTTTGGCTGATCCTCCAGCCTCTTCACTTTTCGCCCTTCTTGCCTTCGTCCTTGTCTTTGCCTTTGCCCTTGTTTTCTTTGCTTTTTCCTTGGCCTTCTTCTCGCCAGGACAAGCTTCGTTGATCTCCTTTTCCTTTTGTGCGGGCTGCTTCGGTTCTCGTTTTCTGCTCTTCCTTGCTCTCGCCTATTGCTTCGCGAGTCTCGGCTCGGCTGCTGATCACCGGCCTTTCCAGCTGGCCTCCTTGTAGCCCCTGATGCATCGGCTGGCGGAAGTACTGGCAGGCCACTGGTGTCTTCCCCATCTTTCTCACCCTCTGTTCGTCTGCAAAGAGCTTGACGACTCGATGCTCCTCTCGCTGCTCTCCGAACTGCCCACGGTGCTGCTCCCACTGCTCAAAGAGCTTCAATGCTTTGCCTTCAGCCTCTTGGCCTATTCTTCCGGTCCATTCTTCCAGCACCGGCGGGACAACCCTCGCTGGGCGCTCCTCACCACTCCTCCCCTTCCTGCAGGAGGATCTCTGCCTCTTCGATCCCTGACTGCTGGACGCCGCAAGGTGGCATCTAGACTGGTGTTGGGATCTTTTGGACTGACGCCCGAAGTAGTAGCGGCGTTCTTTCTTCTTTCTGCCCTTGTTGACCCCCCAGTACTGAGGTTGTCGCTGCCAGGCGCGAATCGGTCCTCTCCACTGATCGACTGCCGGTAGGTCGAGCAATCGGCGGTGGTGGTCCTCCCCTGACTCGAGGGGGTGAGTTGGACGGTATCTTTGGTCGCCTCACTGAAGGTTTGGCCTTCTTTGCCTTCTCACGTTCTGCTTGCTCTGGCTTTTCGCCCCGACGAGATCGTGCTCGAGATGACAAACTCCTGCACCTCCTCCGCCTTGATCTCTTGCTACGGGACCTGTCGCTTTTCTTATCACTCTAGCTCCGTCTGCGTCTATCCTTCCTCTCCTCCTTGCCAACTTTGGATTCGCTTGAAGTCTTTTCCTTCCTCTCACAAACTCCTGCTTCCTTTTGAAAAGGGCTTGATGGACGATCACCTTCTTCTTGGGCGTAACCCACGACTTGTCTACCTTCCTGTCTGACCTCTCTTCTCCTCTTCTTTCTCTCCCCTTGCCGAGATTCCGCCGCCTCTACCTTGTCGAGCGCTTCCTCAAGGACACTGGTCCAATCCTGAGGGGTTCAGCGCCCAGCCTCGCGCTGTTGGTGAGAACCGGTCCAGCATATGCCAGAACCGATCTCGTGCTCACTCTCCCCCGTTAGGAGATCACAAAGGCGACAGCTCTGCATCAAGACCCGCTGTGAGCCCAACGTAGTAGAAAACGTTTACCTCTCGTTTCGTCTTAACTACCGAGGTCGTAGAACCATATATGGTTTGACTGTGCTTCTTACAACTTGTCTTTTTCATGAAGCCCACCATATCTAAACCCATCCTGCATTGTCTTGTCAAAGTGTATTACAAAGTATACCTGGCCTGAGTCTGTTCCTTAGCAACAAATTTAGACCATTACTAGAAAGTCTTACAGCAATGCCTTGAGGAGGCACATTTTTCAATCAATTACTGTATCAAGATCTGACCTTGATTGGAGTATCCGACAGGATAGAGCTATATATGTTCCATGAAGGTGTTGGATTCTGCAATTATGGAGGCCGTTTCACAAGATTTTGCAGGGGCAACGGCTTTGTGCAAAGGAAACCGGCCACCTTGAAGAAATAAATTGAAATAAAGGAGACTATCACGAACCAAGGAGCATGTTTTCAATGAAGGTGATACAATCATACCGCATGGATCCTCACAACAGGAAAAACACGTTTAGGATTTCAAAGAATAGAATGCATCGTTGCAAGGAAGATACTTTTGATTATAGGTATAAAAGGTGCGGATAAAGGATGGGGCCAGTGTAGCAAAGGATGTGTTCATTCATTGTTGACTTGGAGCAAAGAAAATTTGCCTCAACAAAATCATTCAACAAAAGCTTCAACTACAGTATATAAGTAGAATAGAACGTTTGAACTCCCAGTTCCAAACAAGAGAACCTTCAATGAGCAAACTCCTTTTGAGCATGCGCGCAATCGGCAAAGCCTTTGCGCGGATCTATTCACAGCGCTTCGCGCATGAAGCCGCCCGCACGGAGTGCGTCTGTTCGGGCAGGACACACGGAAGAACACACGCACGATGTCAATAGTCTGTCTCGGTCGGTCTGGGTGTCTGTCTGTCTGTCTGTCTGCCTGCCTGGCTGGCTGGTCTGTCTCTCTGTGTCAGTCTGTCTCTCTGCGTCTGTCTGGGTCTGTCTGCGTCTAGATCTGTCTGGGTCTGTCTGGGTCGGTCTGTGTGTCTCTGTCTCTGTCTCCGTGTCAAAAACCACATGCGCTTGTCCCCCCCAAAAAACATCAGAAACCACATGCTCAATACCATTTCCCTCATCCAGTCGGACTGGGCACACGACCGAACACATCCACGATATCAATCATACATTATCAGAATCCAAGAGCTTTACTCTAGAGAAGACACCTAAAGAATAAGACTATACATTAAAACATATCATATAAAAAAATAAGGCCAACACATACAAACACATATCAATAACATAGGTAAAACATAAGTAAAACACAAAGCTAAACGCAAAGAAAACGCAAAGCGTCACAAAAGACGCAAGCCATTCGGAAAGAAAACGTAAAGCAAACACAAATCAAAACACATAGCCAACACAATCCATGCGCAGCTGGCTGTACTCCTCTTGTTTTTCCTGTCATGCGGACGGAGTCTTCTGTCTTGTATGTTTCCAGTGCTGAGCTAGACTGGCGACTCACCCTATACAAGAGTCTTAGTCACAGCTCAAATTCAAAGTCGCTGCCAGCAGACTCCTGCTGCTCATGCTGCTCACCGGTCTTCTTGGGAGGACTGCCGATCATGGCACGCAAGTAGCTGCAAGGATCAGATGAGGCCACGTCATTCGTATCTGTCTCCACAGGTTTGATACTGAGGAAGATCGCAATGTCAATGACCATGCTGGCAGTCACCGCGAACCCGTTTCCTGCGAGGTCAGCCATCTGGTGATCGCTGAACATTGATCGCATTGGCATGCACTCCGCAGGGAAACCTTGTGGGCGAAAAAGATCCCATCCTGTCAGGAATCTACCTTCATCAAAGCTCCAAAGGTGACACCCAGGAAGGACCGTTGGTGCACAGGAGTCCTTGCTGTTTCTTGACCTCTGCACTCCTTGTGATGATCTACCCATTTCGTGCCTTCTTCAAGAGCTGCATAACACACAACTTCTTGTCCCCGTTGAGGAGCAACGTGTAGCCAAGGGTTGTCTTGCAGTTCTGAAGGCACCGGTGGAGGCCATGATACATTCAACTCCTCACTCATATCCATGTGGCGAGGCACCCATTTCACATCCTAAGGACACTGGCACTAACGAACGACGACGATGACGATGACGTAAGTATTGTTAATGCCAATCATTATAGTTACCATCAATGTCAATGATTCACATCACTGAACACAAAAACGTGCGATTGTCTAGTGTTTTTTGATGCATGTTGATGCTCAATGAGGTTGAGTTGGGATGCCTACCTGCTGCTAGCACACAAACACACACATACACCCAGGAACATACAATGTATACTGTATACAGTTCCCAGCAACCTTTTGTTTGTACCTCCTTTGACTTGATCTTCTCGTCCAACTTGCTGCGTGATTCTTGTCGTCGTTGAAGCTCATTCTCTATGTATTCGTGATCTTTTGGAAGAAGAACAGCCTGTAAAGGTAGAGGTGGTGTCTTGAGAGCCGCCAACAAAGCACCGACACTTTCGAAGAACTGGTTTGCGTTTTTTGGCTCATCCCCCGTCACAGACCCATCAAGCCGGACAGCAATGATGAAGACACGTTTCCTGCAGACAGGTTTCATGTCAGTCATTTCATTCCATCAATCAAATCATAGCATCAATATGTGGAACTGAGTTGCATTAAATTAGCATTGAAGCTGACTGAAAGAGCACAACAACACACCAAGTCCCGCCTCTTCTGAGGAAGCAGGTAATCACTCGCACACAAATGAAATACTTTCACAGCATACATTGCATCATCGATTGCCTCCAGCTCTGCCACAACCTTGTGAAGGTTCGAATCAGGCTGTGATTCGTTGCCTATGGAGTCAACATTCTCGAGTATGACCACCTTGGGCTTGCAGTGTTCAATCACAGCAAGAGATCCATAGCAAGTAGCCACTGAGCATGATGCGAAATCGATAGATTTCATGGCTGTCCGGAAGTCAGAGAATTTCACATTCATCCGTGAGTTTCCTTTACAACTGAAGCCAGACTTCAAGATGAAGATCGGTGTGTCCCTGCAATCACTGCATTCCTTGTCATGGACTACGCAATGTGGATGATCGGAAGTGTCACCTTTGCCTTTGGTCTTGTGCTTGATGATTTTGGCAGAAGAGGTCATCTCTGAAGAGGATGGAGGCCCCAGCCCAAGGGTCAACACATCGTCGTACAAGCAGGCGTTGCCAGCGTCGCCCACAAGGATGTTCTTCAACAGCCACTCTTGCTTCCATGTTTCCTTTTCACAGCAAAATATCAATTTGCCTTTCAAAGGATTCATGAACTCTTCACTTAGCCCAGTCACAGCAGACTGAAAAGCTAGTTCGCCAGCACCTGATCCTGAGCACAATGAAGCCATAGCAATCTCTCCAGGTATCAATTCCGATAGTCGAGCGCTCTCTCCAAGTGATTCCCGAGCCTTCTTGACAAAGAATGAAGCCGCATTGACAAGGAAGTTGTTCATATCAACTTGTCCATCCTGGTCGAGGAATTGGCCATACTCTTTGTTCGCTGATTCCACTGCCACATTCTCTTTGTTCGCTTTGATGGAATCTGATTCTGAAACATCCATATCAATATCCTTGCCCTGATTGGACTCAGTCTGAGAACACCTGGCAGCAGCAAAGGCTTTTGCAAGCTCTGCCTTCCTTTGACACTCCTTCTCTGCCAACAAAAGTATTGGAGCCACTTCATTCGCGGATTCTCACAAAGTGATTGCATGAAGGTGTTGAAGTCAACCAAGTCTGTCAAAGCCGAAGCATAAGCTCCAAATGCCCATCCTCGCTTGCTAATGTGCGCGTCAAGAAACTTCTGAAAGAAGTGGTGGTTCTTGCAACTTTCAATCGCTTGTTTCACGACTGTTGGCAATGGAGGCCCTGTCTGCTCATCCTTGGCTGAATCAACGTTGGGAGCATCATCATGGTTCTTAGCGTCATTACCATCATCATCCAGGTCCATTTCGTCAATGAGACCTTCCAGCTCTTGCTCTAGGGTCTGTGAGACCTTGTCTTCATTCCCCTGGTCACCAGCGACCTTTGAATCTGTCCCTGCCATTGTTGGTGTAGGTGAAGAAGAAGATGCTGGTGTAGATTGAGGATGATGCCCTTGTTGTTCTTCTGAAGTCTCAGCATTCAGCTGCTGGGCCTCACTGCTCCCATGGTCCAATCCATCCTGAGGAGAAGGCTCCGATTGTGACATCAATAGCGTAGGTGGAGTCAAGGAGGGTTGCCCAGAAGGATCAAGGTTGGCTTGGACCTGACCTGCCTTCATTTGTGATTCCGATTCTCCAATGGCTGTGGCAATAGAAGCTCCAGGATCATCATCCTGGGGAGAAGGATCTCTGGTCTTGGGCGACTGGGTGTCGCAAACTTCTGGAGCATCTACTTCAGGTTTTGGCATTGGAGTCTCAGCGCTCTCACCTGTCCTATGGTCCAGCCTCTCCTGTGTAGAAGTCTCTGATTCAGGAATCAACAGCGTAGGTGCTAGTGATACCAATGCCGATGCTGATTCCGATTCCTCAACATCTGTAGCATGCTTCTGGGGGGCATTGTTCATTTGCCCTTCTTGGCTTCCTGAAACAACCTCCAAATTGGAGTCGCTGACAAAGACACAGGATTCGGCTTGGGAGAAGATTGGCCAGGATGAGCTGCTGCATCTGATTCATCGTGTACGGCGCCATCTGTCACTGGCATTGCCACAGGAGTAGCTTCCCACTCCTGTCTGTCACGAGCGAAGGCTGCATTGTGTGAGATTGCAGTTGATGCCGATGCTGCCGATGCTGATTCTGGTTCATGAACTGCTGGATCCACTTGTGGAGGCTCCTCTGCAATATTCACAGGTCAAGTCAAGTCAAGTAACAAAAAGCAGTGCCTGTAACCTGCTTGCAATAAAAAACTATACAAAAACACACAACAACAATTAACAAATACAATTGACAGTTTTGCATCAGTGGGGTTTCAGTCCTGATCCGGCTTCTTGGTTGGAAAGGAAAGCCGCTGTTGACCAGGAGGCGGAGGTTTCATAAAAGCCTGCTCATCGCTGTCACGTCGTCGGACTCGTCTGCCTGTTGGTGCAGCTTTGGGTTTGCTTTCAGCTCGAGCCTTTGCCTGCGCCAGCTCTCGACCAATTGAAGCTGCAGTTCTAGCATTTGCTGTGGCCTTCGCGGCCAAAGCTTTAGCTTCTGCCTTGGCTTTAGCTTTTGCTTTTGCTCGAGCTGTAGCTTCATTCCCCTGAGAAGCTGCTCGCTTTCCCATGATTTGTGCACCTAATGTCAAATGCCACTTCTAAATGATTCAATGTTTCCAGAAACAAAACCACCAGCTTGAATTAGCAAAGTCAGTTATCAGTTTCCTGGAGTCCTGCCTGCTTTGTTTGCAAGCTGAACTAAAGGCTAAAGAACCTAGGACCTAGTGAATTGAACAGTCTGGAAAGGTTCACTGCACAAAGAACTGCTTGTCTTTGCAGTGTCAGTAAAATGTAAAAGCCATACTATCGACTATCGATGCCAATGGCATTTGTATGGCACACAGGTTTGCTGGCTAGCTTCGCAGGGGTGTGGCCTTCCGTCACCCTGCAGTTCCAAACTTGAAACAGAACAAAACAGTTGTATAGAAACAACACAGCAGGAACAGCGTAAACCTGAAGTGGATATTGTGTGGCTAAACAAATCCTAAGGAAAGTGAAATCGCTCTTCAACAACCAGCTCCTGCCCATTGCAGTACACCTTTCCGAAATCATGTGGAACCTTTGGCCGGCTTCGATTCATTTGGGCGCGGTATAACGGTATAACAATATATAAGCGCAACAGGGTTTTGAGTAACAGTAAAAAATAACAGCACATTTGATGATTTCATCACATCCCCACTCGCCGGAAGCCATTCGACCAAGGCATGGTGGAACAATCAAGGCGACTTGTTCCCATTAACTTAAATTCCAATTCCTATCTTTGACAGCTGCCCAGATCACAACTCAATGCCAGCAAGTTTGAGCATCTCAGATGATCTTGAAGCAAGGCTTGCAGGCAAAGAAACCCCGTCATCTTGCACAGCCTTCAAGGAAAAGGATAAGTTGTCCACAATCTGAGCGTGCTTGCTGTCTTTTTTGCTGCAGTTTCTGGTGTCACACCTGTCCACAACCCACTCTGCAGACAGTGAAGGAGTAGACAAAGAGGCGTCCGTCATTGAGTGCTTTGTATCCCCTCTCCATATCCACCTTCAAACCAGCAATATCCACACAGCAAACTTTCACAGCAGTCAAGAACGACTTTAGCTTGTTCACCTGGGTTGAAGGTGGTGCCAAGCCATCAGAAGCCAGAAACTGCTTGTCTCTCTCAGATGTGTCAATAGACTCATCAGTGTTGTACTTCGGGAGTTTCAACTCTTTCAGAGAAGCTGCAAAAAGGCCTGCCTGCTGCTCTACCTTGCCAATCATGTCCTCAACCCATCCCTTGTGACTCTTTCTCAGACTATCGAAGATCGCCACCAATTCACTCTCATTGATGCCAGCATCCACCCCGTTCTGACTCAATGTAGACTCCACAGACACATGTGTGTCATATTGATGTTCTGCGGTGGCTAGATCATTCAATGCCTTGAGCATGTCCATTGTGCGTTCTGTAGGTCGAGTCGAGATTTTGAGAGGTCCCTTCTTTTCTTCCTCTGTGAATAAGCAGCCTTGGAGTCTCTACAATGCTTCTGACTATACATAACTTTACATAACCAAAACAGAACCTCACAAAGATACGGCACAGAAGTGTATCATAAAATGTATCTAAGCGTATTCAATCCAAACAACCCGCAAACGCAGCCAAGCGAAAGATTTCAGCAGCATCGCCAAGTGCCTTCATCTCCGCTCGCTCATCAACTGAAAACACCTCGGCAGCAAGCCAAAGGTAGTCATCAATCGTTGTTTTGAAAGCTGGCCAGAACTTGTTCTTGGAAAGAGGGCATCTCTCGGTAATCTCAGTGATTGACTTCACTAGAGTGATCTTGATCGAATCCCTCTTCTCCAAAAAGCCATTCTGCATCTTCGCAAAGAGGATCTTCCGGAAATTCTGCAATGGTTCACCTAGCTTTTTGCATGGAAGAGTTTGTTCAGCTTCGTCCTGACACTTGGCCCATGCATTCATGAGGTCAGACGCTTTCTGGAGAGACAATGCTTCATCTGGAGTTGCATCACTGGAACTGTCTATTGCCTGGCAGCACTCCACCACAGTGCCATGGATCCTCCACAATCAAAGCAGAATGGTATAGACTCAGTCAAGTGTTTATATAGGTGATACATATATTTGATTGATACAAAAAGAACAACTAAAGAAGTTGCCTCGAAAACAATTCAATCACTTCTGAAAATGGCCTCATTAGGAATGAACTTTTTCAGGCCGTCAACCTTCCAGATAGGCTTCACCAGTGTTTTCATGTTGTTCTGGATGTGCACGGTTTGGCTGTTGATGAAATCGGCAAGTTCTGATTCCGAATGAACAGACACAGCAGCTTGGGCAAGGCATTTCATCTTCAGCTCCAAAGCGGAAATGTTTTGAGCTTCAGCTTTGTCAGCCAACAATGCCCTCTCCCACAAACTGATCAAAGTTGCAACATCTCTGTCAGTTGGTGCTTTGCCTTCTTCCTCAACAACACATGTTGATACTTGTTCCAACTCTTCTAAGCAAGTCTGTGAAGCAAGCCTCTTTTTTGCAAGCTCTGTTGCATGTTGGAGAATTGACATCCCTTGCGGAAGAGAGCTGACTGTAGCAAACAGCTTCTGATCTGGGCTTGGCATTTGTATAGCCTCAACAGCCTTGAGGATGGTGTTGGGTAGCCGGGTAGCACCGTCTTGTCATCATAAGATAAGACTTGTTGGAGGCTGGCAAACTGCTCAGCGACAATGTTGCTCAATCCAAGTTGCTCGCATCCTGCAATGTTGCCCACAAACTTTTTGAGATTGGCTGCGCCGGGGCAACCAAGTTTTGCCTGATTCTGTGGAATTGCTCGCAACACTTTCTGAACAACTTGGGAAAAGATCAGTTTCAGCTGTGACTCAATGAAGTCGTCACCGTCACCATCTTTGCCTGTAGTGGAGTCCACAATGGTTGTCGCAATCACTTCAAAGCGGCCAAACTTTACAAGCTCCATAATCTCAGCCTTCAAGAGCTTCATGTCGGCAAGCATTCCGCTTTTAACGCGTATGTGTCAAAAGCCTCTGTCATCAGGCTTTTTAGCTCAGCTGGTTTTGGAGTGGCGCTTGCAAGCTGACTATACAACCTGGCAAAGGTCGTAGCCATGTCACAAAGGCTCTTCATCTCGGTGATGAGGGTCTCATTGAGCACTTGTTTTCTCCTCTTGATTTGAGACAGCTTGGTTTGAAGTTCGCCAGCAACTGTCTGACAAATCTGACAGTTGTGTTGAGAAACTGTCACCAACTCTGTTTCGTTGCCAACTTCATCCATGGTAGCTGATGAAGTGACTTCTTCAAGACGTTCCTCACACCTCTTGAAAATGCTTTCATCCGAGTCGTGAACAGCACTTGCACTTTGTCTGCCTTTGCCTTCGGCCTTTCCTCAGGGTTTGGTGTAGTATCTTCACTTGAAGTCACTTCAGCCGAAGAGCGTTTTCGAGATGGAGTAGGGATCGACTGCAACTTTGGCGGCTTTTCAGCATTGTGTTCTGGTTGAGGCTTTGGAGCCCTCTTTGCCTTTGCTTTGGCTTTTGCTTTTGGAGCCAGCTCAAACCAGATGACATGCATTCACCATTGTCATCATCATATTTGTTTTGCCAGTAGGTGTAGGCGTCTCTGGTGCACTGGCTGATGTTGATTCTTCACCTGTCGCGTTTGATCCTGGTACGGAAGTGCCCGTGATGTTCATGAGCATGTTTTGTCCTCCTGGAGATGATGCTGCCGCTGAAGACGATGACGATGATGCTGTTGAGCCAATGGAAAGCACGCTGTTGAGCCAATGGAAAGCACAAATTCATCGCTAGCGTCAGCCGCTGAAGACAGCAATGTTTTGAATGCTTGTGTGTAGTCGTTCAGCCTGATCTTCGCGGAGTTCAACACGATCGGTTAGATTGGTGTCGAGCTCCACTCCTTGCTTTTGCCGTTTAGCACTGCGATACATACCAAGATCTTCTTCGCGCACACTCATAACACCCTCCAGTGTTCTTCCTCGAAACATCTTGGTCACCTGCAGGTGTCATACTATCGTGTTGAAGTCATAAGTTAAGTTATAAGCATAAATCATTATATAATATATCTATATATATCTCATATAATATATTTAATCATATCTATGGGGAAAATGAACAATCTAAACACACAAAATAACTTGTCTGTCTAATGCATAAGTGTTGCTATCTTGTTCTTTGGTGCAGTGCCAAATCTTTTCTCATAGACATCGAGGCGGC